CCATTTCTTCATCATAACGTCGATCACGGGCCCCCACTGTTCCTTCAGCTGGAGGAAACCCATGATCAGCACCAATCGCTCCATGGGCAGATTCCGGCACGCAGGGCTCTGCGCATCAGCGTTGGTCTCCAGCATGTACTCCATACTAATTCCTGTGGCCACCTCTGCAGTGTGACTTCCAATACGTGAATTACGATACAATTATGCGGGTCTGTTGCCAGGGTGCGCAGCATTAGCGTCTTGCAACAATACGGCAAAGCAACGGAAAAATACGCGTAAAATACGCCTCAAGTGGGTGTACGCACATGATAGCTCACGCTTGGAAGCTAGTCGGCATCGAGAGGCGCACGACGGGGAGGACGAAGAGAAGATCGAGCCCGGAGACTGACGGGGCGTTGGGTGACGAGGAAGGTGCTCTAGCAAGTGGAGCGGCTCCCAAGTATTTTTACGTACGCCGCCGAAGCCGCTTCTTGACTTGTGTAGGGGCGGGAGTTAGCCCAACGCTAATTAGTCCGGTTTGGTCCGGAGAAGGACAAAACGTTACAAATCACCAATCACAGATTATTGTCATAAGCTGGTACTATCTCGGAAAGATACGTCGAATACTTTTTTTTCACAAAGCAAGAATAAATTAATTTTATTGATTTGAAAAGCTAGGTTGAATACTATAATAAAGGCTGATTGGTATTGGATTGTTGTTTCCGCATAGATGTAGTAAAAGTTACTTGCATTTACTGCAAACAGCCGACGGTGCCCCAGCTTCTATATCTAGTTTCATCCTGTATTTTTCATGTATTGCGTTCATGTTGGTATCATAGATGAGGGTCCAGCATCGTCATTTCATGGCAAGCCTTACTCTTTGTGTGGCTCACTCTTATCGTCTGTGCAAATTCACTTTCAGTGTGTAGCCTTGAAATATAGCGTTCCATTTTCAAGCAGCTATTACCTGGTCTATTTAGCAAATACAATGGTTAAGGTAATTATCACTTCTTCGGCCTTGAGCGTCTTTTTTCTTTGAAGACGTCAGTGAACAGGAAAGTGTCGAATACACCGTAAGTTTTTTAGTTGTTTTAAAACCATTACAGTTGTGCACCTCGTTTTCGGCTGGGTGGGCCATATCAAAACCTAGAATGCATCATTTCTTAAGGAAAAATTATAAACTGAAACGTGTTCAAACCCGAATTGATTATCCCCGAATATAAGATTACATCGGTGCCGGAAACGAGGTGCACGACTGTACATGAATTCAACACAACATCACTATGCTTATCATGGATGAAAATAAATTAAAGCATTTTGTTCTGTTCTCTAATACTGGTAGTATTTTGTTTTCCTTAAACATCTTATTTTATAAAATAACTTTAATTATTTTAATGATTTTAATTGCCTTTAATGAAAGCAATAGTGTCCACAACTGACAATTTCGGAAGTATATCCGCGTCAAACGATTCGATGCATCAATTCGATCATAACTTGGGCAGCAGTTCAATAAGATAATGGCTCCATTACGCGGGAGGGAAGGGGATTAATGCCAGCATGGCACTGGCCTCCATCCAGGCAGCGCTGAGGACACAAAATCGCAGTTCAGACTGGCATCCGCAAGGATAACGCTAGGCCACATTGGAACAACGAAAGACTGATTGGTTAATTGATTTGTAGGCGCCACTAACGTTGGACTCACGTCGGTCGCAGCGCTCTTTACCCTGTTTGTAGTATTGTCTTACCGGCTGCTTCGAAATGCACCGATGAGATGTCGCTGGGAAGCGAAGACGAATGAATAAAATGTACCTGGCATATAAACTTCTCGTGCCAGGTGACTGGACTGTCAAAGGTAGACGCTCTTAGGCCACTCTCGCCAACTCCCACGGCTGCCACAAGTTGTCGTTGCTACTCTTCTTGTTCGCTCGCGGAGGAGACGCCATAGCCACGCCCGTGAGCTCGATCTCGTCGTCGCCAGAGTATACACTGCTGGCTGCGCTTCTGGCCTTACGCTCGTCATCCGAGAGGCCGTAGCGCTGCAGCTCGTCTCCGTGGATAAAGATGGGTTCGGCTGCCATACTCACGTCCGAAATGAAGCTCTCATTTCGACTTGCCACTCTCTTGTTCGAGTGGGGGCTCTCAAAGGCACTGGTGCCCACAGACAGCTCGCTCTCTGCCAGCGGTCGACGCGCCGACAGATTGCGAGGCTCGCTGCGGTGTTTCGACAGCTTCTGCTGATACGAGTTCGCCTCTTCTTGTTCCCGAAGATGACGTTGCTTTCTCTCTTCGATCGACTCCTGCAATGGCATGGACGAGAACTTGCCGCTCTGGATCTTTTGCTCCATGTTCGACTGCGTCGCCTTCTTCACCTTCGACTGTTTCTCCGGCAAATAGTCGTTAAAGGCGTCGTACGGATCGACGTCCTGGCGACTGCGTTGCTGTTGGTATCGTCGCTCAGTGGACGGATACGTTGGTCTCGGCTGTTGGTACGTTGACCTCGAGTTCGACTGCTGAGGCTGCGACGGTGCCTCTGTCGGCGGGCCAAGACTGGCTTGCTGTCTGCTATTGCGAGGGATATACATACTTTGAGTCATATCCGGATCCATGGGCGAGCTGGGTTTCATCCAGCTATTCTTCCGCATATGTGTCTGGCCTCTTGTGCTTGCCAGATTTTGTTCAGCAAAGGCTTCCACGGCCATAGACTCCCGGATAGAGTTCATGTCTGCGCCAGCCGACAGGTCGTCGCCTTCCAACACAAAGTTGCGCACAACCTCGAAGGCGTAGCCTCCACATGTGGGGCACTTGGGCGTCTTGGAGAAGGCCCAGGACGCCAGTAGGTTAATGAAGGAGCGTAGTGCTTTAACGCGATAGTTGACAACAGGCGGCGCCCTCGACGCGAAGAGGTGCTTCTTTGGAAAATCGAAGCGCTGGATCGAGTGCAGATAGTTGCGGCAGCCCGGACACTTGTCTGTGGACGAGGACAAGAACTTGACCAGCTGGTCGCGTAGCTTGAGGAACTCCGAGTAGCGGTGGCTCACCTCCCACGTCTGGCCGGTCGAGGTGAAGCGCCCCGCGATGCGGTAGTATGTTACGCCTTGGTGCGTCGCGGCCGAGAGAAGCCAGAGCCGCAGATCGCGGCCGTTCGGGTCCGCCTGGTTCATGAGCGACATGGTCAAGCGCGTGGCCGGCAGACTCTCCCTCATGATGCTTAGCTTAGTGACGAACGAAGGGGTCAGCTAATGATCAAATACACTGCGCAGGTGCCCGCCGTTTTGTGTAATGAGTGCGTCGAATTCCAAACTTTTTGACGGAGAAGCGATGTGAACCGACTCCTGCAAGTTACCGCACTTGATCGCGTCCGGTTCAACCTGCCTGTCGGATGGTGATTGGATGATATACTGTAAATACGATTCATTATTGGATAAAAATATTGAAGTGGGGCAGTTAAAACGGGACGTAGATATTTCTCTGTACTATGCGCTTGCTACACAATCCCAAGAGCAGATCGGAGCGCAGTCTGCATCATGGTCCTGTCCAAAAATCCGCACTCTCCATTCAGGCCGATCCACCGCAACGCCGCGTTGCTGCCAACGCAGAAGGCAGTGAGGTCGACGCTTGAGACTATTTTTGAAATGATTCTTAGTACAAACTTCAGTGCAATTGCTGGCACAGCAACGCTGCTTCTCTAATTCTGTACATCCACGGCAACCCTAGTAAAAATTTCGACTGCTTTGATAAGGGTTCACAATGAATCCGCTTCAACTCCTTCTCCAAAGTTGACGTGGCAAACTCAATCTTTAGGTGTCCGACGGACACCCATGCACTTGTTGCCGCTGCTGCAAGTCATTCGTGATGACAAAACCTACAATTTGATTCACACAAATCTCCCACTTCAACTTGCTCTATTTCGTGGTAAGTTGCAGTCAGAGTCTGGCTCGTTTCATGGTCTGGACAAGTCCGTCGGCGACTTCCTCTGCGAACTGCGTGTCGATGCCGTGGCCGCCGTTCTTGAAGAAGAAGGCACGTACTTGGTCGCCCGGCAGTCGTTGCAGGAGCTTCACGGACTCCTCGGGTGGAATCAGAATGTCTCGCATGCTACCGACAATTAGGATGGGGAAACCCGCCTTAGCAATGACTTTGAGTCGCTCGTCCGAGACGTAGTGCGTCTGCACAGCCATGCCCTGGCACAGTAACGCCTTGTATCCTGCCGGTTTGTGTCGGTTGGGAAGTGTGGCGTAGTGCCGCTCGAGCACGCTGCGCACGTCTTGATCGCCGATCGGACGGTCGAGGAAGTCCGACGGATAGTTGAGCGACACGGTGTTCTTTACGACTCCCGTCTGAGTCGGTGAGAAGATGGCACCAAGCAACGGGATCATCGACCGCATGTCAGGGATGTATCGGCCGCGAGTACTCACCAATAGAGAGAGGGACTGCACGCGCTCGGGATAAGCACACGCAAGCTCGATAGAGATCATACCACCCATACTACAGAACAACAAAATCAGATGAGATATCCTTCAGCAGCGAGGATATTATCGTATATCACAACGGTACCTAATGCCAACAAAGTGTGCAGATTCCCATCCAAGATGGTCCAGCAAGCAAACCGCGTCCTCGGCCATTTGGCTGGTGGTGTATCGCCCCAATGGCGCATCAGTGCCGCCCACGCCTCGATTATCAAAGGTGAGGATCGTTAGGTTCCTGCCTTGTTTCTTTGCGTCCCATTTCTTCATCATAACGTCGATCACGGGCCCCCACTGTTCCTTCAGCTGGAGGAAACCCATGATCAGCACCAATCGCTCCATGGGCAGATTCC